TCTTATACACATCTAGATGTGTATAAGAGACAGGGGTGTGCCACGTCTGGGGGTCGGTTTCGGGTTGTGGGGGCCCTGGGGGTTCATTAATGCCCGTCGGGTGGGGTTATTGGGGGTCGTAGTGGGGGGGCTCAGATTTTTTATTTTTTTTCTGGTTTTAGTGTTTGGGCGCATAGGGCCACAAGTCCGAGGCCCAACGCGCCCAACCCGTTTTTTGGGATTCAACGGGAACCCCCCGTTTTTCCGTTAAACGGGATTCAACGGGGGTCCCGGGGGCTATTCAACGGGTGAAACGGCGTTTAATTCCTTCCGTTGCCCGTTGTTCGGAGACACAGCGGACTTGTCTTCTCCACCTTTCTTTCCTCCATCCTTCATGGGTCCTTTACCCCTCTTGTCATCATCCCCGTCGTTGCCACCATCTCCACCTCCACCACCACCACCAGGACTCAACTTTGCTGAAATGATGGTGTTAGTCAGCTTTTCAGTGAAGAGGTCATCTGATTGGCGTTGTCGGGCGGCCCAAGCCTTACGCCGCCCTTTACTTCCTTTGAAAGGTCTACAGTCGACGGTCAGATTTCGCACGGTGACCTGTTCTGACAGTTTTCACCTTGTGGACCGAGTGGACGGGAGACAATTGGCTGATGGAGAGTGGACGACACGAGAGAAACCAAGGTCAGGCGAAATTATGGGAAAATACGGGCCAAGGAGGGTAATTTTTCCGAGGCTCGACGGTAACCGGAGCAATTATTATTTCAATAAAGAAAGGCAATTCTAATGCAAAATCATGGTATGCCGATCGGAACTCGCGACCGCTGTTGAATTATAATTATGAAGTGAAGGTATCTCAAGAGTTGCGTTGGGCCTCCCGTCAAAGTGTGACGAGTCTTCGGGCGCCACGTCATTCGTCCGTTTTCGACAGGATCGAGAGCCTGAGGGCTGGGCCCGAAAGATTAATGGCGGGTGCCCTAATTTACCGCGGTGAGATCGGGACACCGAAATCAGGTGCAGAGACTCAGGTCCGCTACCGGGCCGCTGCAATTTCCCGATGGAAAGGCCTTATGGTACCACTAATGATTGTTCGGAGGACGGGGTAAGCTCGGGCACACGCCCGGGGCTGGGCTGGTACTGGAGCGCTGCAAAAGGCCCGGTACCCGACAAAAAAGGCCAGCTTTGTTAATTTCCACTAAGGGCCAAGACAAGCCCGGAATCAGGCTCGGGGGTAGGCCTGGTACCAGGGCGCTGCAAGAGGCCCGGTACCCGGCAAAAAGACCCCCTTGGCAAGAAACTTTTCGGGGCACCAAACAGGCCCGGGCATAGGCTCGGGGGAGCCATGGTACCGGGGCGCTGCAACTTGTCGGCAGCTTCGCAGCATGGAGGGCTGACGCACACTCCGAAAGGGGCCCGACAAAATATAAAAGCCCAACCGGGCCCAGGATCGGGACACTTCCAACATGTGCACGTACAAGCGTACTACGGGAACTTGGGATTGAGAGCGGAGGAGCTGAGACTTCGAGGAGGCGCACAAAGCTGGCACGAGCATGCTAGCTCACGAGACAGTCTGCGTACACTGAGGTGTACCATGGGAGGAGAGTCGGGGGAGAGTCAAGGAGCAGCAAGGGAGAAAAGAGAGGAGTTGGCTATGAGGGGAAACGTGTGCACCATAGCTGCGCCCGAGCACCAGTGTAGAGATCGCGCCCAGTTACAGTCCACGCAGACGGGTGCACGACCACACGATGACAGGACACGATCGCACACGAAGACGAGCACTAGGGCGAATCTGCGTGCACCTGCACGCACAGTGACGCTCAGTAGAGTTCACGCACGTGCGATCGCACACCGAGGCAGCGAGTAAACAAGCGCGCACACGCACGGAGCTGCGCACACTCGTGCGCACCTGCGGGAAGCCGCGCGCACACTTGCGCGCACCTGTGGGAAGCCGCGTGCACACTCGCGCGCACCTGCGGGAAGCCGCGTGCACACTCGAGCGCACCTGCGAGCACATGGGCGGAGCTGCGCACATTCACACCAACCTGCAGGAAGCTGCACACGCACGCAAGGAGCTGCGCACTTTCGCACGCACCTGCAGGAAGCCGCACGCACACTCATGCGCACCTGCGGGAAGCCGCGCGCACACTCATGCGCACTTGCGGGAAGCCGCGCGGACCTACGCACTTTTCGCACGCACCTGCGGGAAACTGCGCACACACGTGCGGAGCTGCGCACATTCACGCCCACCGGCGGAAAGCCGCGCGCACACGCGCGGAGATGCGCACATTCGCACGCACGTGCGAGAGGCCGCGCGCACACTCGCGCACATTCGCGCACACCGCGCATACACTCGTGCACGTCGGCGCACACCGCGCATACACTCGCGCCCGTTCGCGCACACCACGCATACACTCACGCACGTTTGCTCACACCGCGCATACACTCACGCCCGTTCACGCACATCGCGCGCACACTCAAGTACGTTAGCGCACACTTCGCGCTAGTAGGGCGGGGCTGCGCGTCCAAGCGCACACGCTCGCGCGTGGCGGGGGAATCGTGCTCGGCTGAGGAGGAGCCGCGCACGGGCGCACACTACACGCAAGCCATGTGCGGCGACAGGACAAGGCAGGACTTTGAACTTGAACAGGGATCGCGAGACCTCAACGGACCGGGCCGAATTAGAACGCGAACAGGGACTAGTGGGCCTTTGTGAGCCGAGGCTTTGGGCACAGGCAGCCCTGATGAGACGAATTGGTACTTTTACACAGGCTCGGACTGCGGGATCTGGTGCGAACAAGGCGTGTACTCTGGGACGCGGAGTGAAGCCACGGGACTGAGCACCGACGAGCGAAGGCTTTTGGGCATAGGCCGCCCTGGCAAGACGAACTGGGACTTTTTCACAGGCACGGACTACCAACTTTGGGACGCGGACTGGGGCCACGGGACTGAGCACTGACGAGTGGAGACTTTGGGGCGCAGGCCGGGACAAAGGGACTCAGGGCGTGACTAGGGATTGAGAGAATCGAGAGTTTGAGGCTGGGACTTTGGGCGCAAATCGAAACTTTGGACTAGAACTTCGGCTCTTACTATGATTTCGGGCTTAAGCTCGGACTTCGGACATAAGTCGGCCTTCTGTGCGAGAACCGGGACTATGGACAGATCGGGACCTTGGACAAGATTGAGACTTCGGATTAGTTCGGAACGACAGGACCGGGACTCGCGACGGGGTTGTG